AGGTAGAATATTTTCCCACATTTTTACGTAAAGCAAGGACTATTCATCCTAATAATTACATCTCTCATCATTAATTTTTATATTTGTGACAATTTTATTATTAATGTTTGACTTTCATTAATAAATTAGCTGGAGATTAAAATATGATTGAGACTAATTTTAACAAAAATAATTTATTTAAGGTTAACTAATAATTTATTCACTTTTTTTTCCTATAACCATTTAAATATTTAGTTGTTTAACATAATTTCATACCTTAACAATAATTTTAAATGAGGAGACACAAAAAAAAAACAAAAAAACAAAAAAAAAACATTTTTAAGGATCACCAAATATGGTAACACGCCACTTAGCTTCTAAAAAGGACTATGTTTTAAATCAATCAATAAGCTTTTCTGTTCGATTCAAGCGAAAAATTTCTAATTATTAACTTAGCTAGCAGTTTGGTGTTGTCCTTAAAAAACTCATTTAAAAAAAAGTCGTTCGAGACACTCGTTTCAAGACTCTCGCTTTCATTGTGACATACACACGTGCTATAGGGACCACAGGTGGTGGAGAGCTCGCAGGGCCAATGGGTGATGAAGAGCTGACATCATGCTCCACTTAAAAGTACATTTTGAGGCATTTTCAAATTGATGAGTGTAAACATGATTTTGGCAGAATGACGTACAATGTCATGGACTATTGGTCCGATGTCCCATTGATACTAAATTTAGCAAACTTTCATGTCTCATATAGACGAACCTGATTCCAAAATTAAAGAATCAAGTCATTTAGTAAGCTCTAACGACTAGGAATAAAACTTTTACATTTCTCATAACAACCCATGTTCGAGCAATCCTCTTTATTGTATTCCCTTCCCCTATCCTTTCAAAGCCTATAAGTTCGGCACTTCGGGTTGACTAAGAATTTCTTATAGACGACAACATCGTAAACAATTTGCGACTGCGGAAACTGTGTCGGTATAAAAGGGTGGCGGAGTTACCGACACGTCGGTTAAGGATCGCTGCAGCATTGAACCGAACAAGGACAAAAATAATAAGGTGCGGCGGAGTAGACGGTAAGCACAACATGGAATTAGAATATTCAATAAAGTTGACCAGACGACGTGTCTTCTCCATTACCTAGCCAAGATGTAAAGTAAAAGCTCAAAATCCAGCACGTGCTCGACAGAGACTTCTCGAAATCCACAACTTGCACAAACCACACCCAGCAGATGACTCAGTCAAACAATCCAATGAGAAGGCGACACATCTTCCACGTATAAACCTTCAACTTGCCCTCACTTACGTGGCAGCGCCACCTCACCTTACCGTCCATTTATAAATTGAATACTTCCCCAACAAAGACTCTCTGCATTTACTAGTTTACCAATTCAATCCTTCTGTCCAATCACAAAATTTTGCCTTTTTCTTTTTTTAAATCCAAATAAATCAGTTCTCTATTTTTTTTTTTTCTTAATACGATCGACCACCGGTCTCGTGGGTCGCCTCGTGTCTAACCGATGTTGAGTACTATTGGCAACTTTTCACTTGCATTATAAGACAGTTTCGAAGAGCTGCTTTCTGTTTCTAATATCTCAATACTCTCTTAAAAACAACGGAAGAAAAAGGGATCATAATACTATACGTATGGACTTAAAAACGAAACAACCTTAATTAGGTTATTTGACATTAAAGTTGAAATTAAAGATTAAATTAACTACCCACCCAGAAAAAAAGGCATTCCACCAACAACACCACCATAGCCATAAGCCACAAAGAAAGGCGGAGGTTAATTAAAAAGAAATTAGTGTCTGAATAAATGAAATGAGTGGGGTCCACCCTTGTCCTAAACTCAATTCAATGGATCGAATCTGTGTCGTCCAAGCATATGCTAATTCGACGGCCCTCCGATCTTCTTCCTTCTCCACCGTTGCTTTTTGTGTGAATCATCATGAGAAGATGTACGGGTGGATGGTGATGGACTATGATTCGGGATGCACCTGCGGTGCACTGTAGAATTGCTCACCATAGAGAAATGGAATAAAGAAAGGGCCTTGAAAGAATGGTAGCTAACTCGGCTTGTATATGAACCCAAAGAAGTTGTGTTTTTAGCTTTTCCGATCCACTTTTTCGCCTTTTGGTTTCTTCCACTTACAGATTCCCGTGCTTTCTCTTGTCAGACCCTTTTTATTGTTTTCTTACCCTTCTTCCTGCAGCCTTTACTTTAGACTCGACATGAACGCCCCTCGCACGTGTTCGCTTTGTGGCAACAATGGCCATAACTCCCGCACGTGTCCGGAGGGAGACGGTGGCGGTGCCAGCGGCGCCGGCGGATTCATGTTGTTCGGGGTCAGGCTGACCACGACCGAGGGAAGTAGCTCGTTTAGAAAGAGTGTTAGTATGAATAATCTGTCCCAGTTCGACCAGCCTCTAAGTCAGGACTCCAACAACGCCGATGCCGGATATGCTTCCGACGACGTCGTTCACCCATCCGACCGTTGCCGCGGCCGAAAAAGAGGTTTTATTTTATTTTATTTTACTTATTTGATTTTGATTTTGATTTTTTTAGCTAATTTCGATGGTGGGTTTGATTTTTCATAGGGATTCCGTGGACAGAGGAAGAACATCGGCTGTTCTTGTTGGGATTACAGAAGGTTGGGAAGGGAGATTGGAGAGGGATTTCGAGGAATTTTGTGAAGACACGTACGCCGACTCAGGTGGCTAGTCATGCTCAGAAATACTTCCTCCGCCGGAATAATTTCAATCGGAGACGCCGTAGATCCAGCCTTTTCGACATCACCACTGACACTGTAAGTCCCTTGTCTTTTTCAGAATCCTGTTTTGTTTGTTAATTTGATTCATTTATTATTATTATTATTTCCATTTAATTTGAATTGAAGTTCCCGAGCTCATCCATGGAAGACGATTTGGTATTTTCCGGCCACGAGGCTCTGCCGCCACCGTTACCACCATCGCAGCCGCTAAAAGACAACAAACCCGGAAATTTCCTACTCAAAATTCATCCAGTGAAACCACTTCCTCCGGCCGGCGATGACAGCAACGCCGAGAACACAATCAGTTCCAAAATCCTTCGTCCAATACCAATGCTTCCTCTGTCTCCATACCCAAAATTCGCTCAATTAAACATTAACGACAGAACGCCGGAAGACCCTTTGCCTCTGACTTTGAAGCTCTCTACTTCACACCCGGAGGCACAATCTCCGACAGCGGCTTCACAGTCGTCCGGCAGTTTCCAGACAATGTCCGGCGGCGGAGACAGTATCGACATTGTCAGTGTTGCTTGAAGCTGATCCTGAATTGTTGGGGGCTTAGATATAAGAATAACTGGTCGGATTTAATTGGACAGCGTATAAAAAAGGATTCCAGGTTTGTTTTGTACAGGTGAAATTTTAAATTTAATTGGTCCAAAAAAAGTGATATAAATTTCAATAATGGTTGTATTTGGATTTGTTTCTAGAATCGTCGTGTTAATGTTCATATAATTTAAGTTTATTGTAGAAATGAATTAATGCGTTAATTTTCAGCATGACTCGAAATATTTAGAGCATATGGTTCATTAAGTTAGTAGACGACAAGAATATGAGTGTGGGCATCAAGCTATTGCTTTCTCGACTTGTCGTTTTGCTTCCATGTGCCCATGGATGAATCTCAGCCACTCCTGCCATTTATATTCAAGGACAAAATTTCCATCATTTTTAATGGTTGTCATTTAATCCATTTTTTCCTTTTCTTTTTCTTATTCCCAGTAGATTCCACGAATAATTTACCCCTTTTAGAGATCAACGTCCTCGATGGCATACCGCTCAATGTATGACTGACTATGATACCATTTGTAACGGTTCAAACTCGCTAGTAGATATTGTTTGTTGAGGTTTCCACATTCTTATAAGAAATGTCTATGTATAACTCTGATACCATTTGTAACAATTTAAACTCATCGTAAGTAGATATTGTCTGTTGAGGTTTCCACATCCTTATAAAGAATGTTTCTCATTCTCCCTTCAAACCGACGTGGGATCTCACAATTCACCCCTCCGGGAGCTATTTTCTTCGCTAACACACCGCTCGGTGTATAACTCTGATACCATTTGTAACAGTCTAAATCCATCGCTAGCGGATATTGTCCACTTTGAGGTTTTCCCATCCTTGCAATAAATGTCTCGTTTTCCTCTTCAACTGACGTGAGATCTCACTTGTTGGATGGTGAAAGTCCCATATAAGCTAATTTAGGGAATGATCATGGGTTCATAAACAAATAATACTCCATTAGTATGAGACATTTTGGAGAAACCCAAAGCAAAGTCATGAGATCTTATGCTCAAAGTAGACAATATCATATCATTGTGGAGAGTCGTGTTCGTCTAACACTCACAATCCACCCCATTGGAACCCAATGTCCTCACTGACACACCGTTCAACATATGACTCTGATACCATTTGTAACAGCTTAAGTTCATCACTAGCAGATATTGTTTATTTCGTTTCGTTATGTATCGCAGTCATCCTAACAGTTTTAAAATGCGTCCACGAGGGAAAGATTTTTACGTCTTTATGAAGAACGCTTCGATTCCCTCTACTATCGATGTGGGATCTCACATAAATTTTGTTAAAATATATTATATTACGAGTAATTAATGAATTTAAGAAATGTTGGATTGATACGACCTTAAACAAAATCGATGTTAAAACTATTTCACGTTGATATATATATATATATATATATATATATATATAAAAGCTAATTTTGGAAACAACTAATTTTAATATATTTAAAATTTGAATTTAAAAAAAAAATGAAATGCATAAAAACAACTATAAACATAATAATATTTTATGCTCTAAAATGTTTGTTTATGAATTAATTAAAACACGAAATTATGAAACCCAACTTGATTTTTCATGGTATCTCTGACTTTCAAATGTTTATTCACATACCCTAAACTTTCCATATTTATAAAAGTCACCTCTGAAAATGGAAGGGGGAAAGGAGATTAACGTGGCAAATATGTAATTAAAGAAACTACAGGGGAAGGGGGAGAATATAGAAACTGTAAGGCTCTAGTGCGTGAATTCAGTTCGCAGATTTGATTTTGGTGAGAGAGACGAAAAGAGAGAAGGCGGTTACGTCGGGAGAAAAAATGTGTTGGAATTCTGTGTTGCTTCCTGTTCTTCTGCTTCTTTTCAGCTTCTTTGCTTCACTTGACGCCCAATTGCAGAATACGTGAGCTTTAATTTGGTTCTTTATGCTTTCTTATTGGTTATTGTGTTATTAGATCGACTTCTTACTGATCTGATCTAATCTGATCTGATCTATTGGAATTCCATGGCTGACTGTTGAATTTGTTCTGATTATCAGAGACAGAGTTGAGGGGAATGAAGAAATTGAGATAGGGTTTGGGCGCAGAGCTCTGTTGAGTTTCAAAGAGACTCCACAGGGAAGTAACGTTAGCTTTGAATGCTCTCGTTCTGGCCCCTGTATTGCCTGCCTCTACTCTGAAAAGGTTTCTATTTCATTTGAATGTTTGTTCGAGATAACCTAAATTCTGCTGCTGTTTTTCTCGTTAAGTTGGATTGCGTTTTTTATTAGGATAAATTATCTAGAAACTGTGACCTAGCTTATTGGAGTCAGAACAGTGATTTTCTTTCAATTGATGTAGTTTGGTGAGTTTCTAGTGAGCTAATTGGAGAAGGCATTACGAGGACATCTTTCATTTATGGCAGCGATAATTTAGTAGTTGTGAAAAAAGAGTGAAGCTTTTCAATATCTCTTCTTTGAGAGAGCTATGTGGTGTAGGATATGTAGCGAATCGAGATATTGCAAATGCATGTGAATTTTTCATCATGAAGCTGCAGCCTTCCAGTTTTCATTAAGGCCCCTCGTGTTCTCGCTGTCTTTGAAGCCAAAATTGCACGCTTGTACATTCTCTAAAAATATGATCAGGCTGGGTGTACCTTATTTACTTTGTAATAGATTCCTTGCCCCGAGCCAGCTGACGAAAAAGCAGAAAGGAAAAAAAAAAAAAAAAGAAAGCGAAGATCATTCCATTTCAACTAAAGATCCACACCCAAGTTCCACAGCTTTGCGTCCGCTATCCTTATCACATCCTTATCTTTATGCTTAGTTGTAGGTGAGAAGGGATTTTAACTTGGACCATGGATTAAGGCTATAGCCATATGGGACAAGCAATGTGGACTTTCTACTAGTTAATATCTGGATAATGCCAATGCACGTTCTTTTATCATGAAGTTATATGTTTTGGGTTCTTAATGTCTTAGGATTGGGAATGATAGTCCCTTGCATATTCTGTGTTTCTAAATCCACGTTTCGTGTTTACTTGTAGCTTTTGCTTTGTTTTTTGATATGACGTTTTATGCAGAGGTAATTTTTCATCCTTTTTTCTTTTTGATCTCATAGAATGATGAAAAATATCGCTGCAGTGAGACTGGCTACCGTATTCCCCTGAAATGTGTGGAGATCAAAGACACTTCAAAAGTTTCCAATGAGAAAAAATCTCATGATGGTCGCTCAATGCTTGAAATGTCTTATGAGCACAAGCTAGTGATCCCTGTGCTGAATGATGCAAGTGGTCATGCTTCACCAATTGCACAAAGAAATTTAAGAGATGGTTCTATCTCAGCAACAGATGGTGCTCAGGCTTACACCACTTATAGAAGCTGTATTCCATCAGTTAATGAAGAAAAGTTGTCTGTACTTGGTTTTGAGGTATGCCATTTTCCTAACTACCCTATTTGAACCGCTTCAATTAATTGCAATTAATGGTTTCGTGGTCATTTTTCTATCTGCTCTCTTTTCCATCTGCATGCTGCCTGATGCCTTTATTATGTTGCTTCATTCTATGTGATTGATATCAAACGTGTTCATTGACTAAATTGCGCTGCAGTCGTGCTATTAGAGACACTACTGTTTTTATTCATTTGTAATTGTGGCCTGTAGCTTTTTCCTGTGATCTTTCCAGCCATAAGATGTATGTACTTTTTAAGTAGAGGTTGTTTAACCAAAATATATTAAAGAGAGTTGGACGGTTAAGGCATTTTTGAGAAATGTTCATATTTTACCGAACCAAATTTTGATGGCTAATCAATATCTATGGGTTTTCTTTAGCAGTTTTATTGTTAAGATGATAGCTAAAATCATATTTAGTAAGACTACTAAAGGGGTTCGTTTTTGTTGCCAATTATTTGTTGGTAAATCTTCTATAAGCTATTTGCTAAGAGCTACAGAACTTGTTGGGGCATGTTCTCAAAATAATAGGAACTGCTTCCCCCTTCTTCCTTAACATTTTTTTATTTTGTAAATCTACATGGAAAAGTAATTATTTCGCTTTGTAGTCTATTTTTTAAATCAATATATTATTAATTAATTCATAATACATCGTCCATCATTGAACAGACATTAGATAAAATGTATCTTTTAAAAGATTGAAATTGTGGTTCGTTGGAGAGAAAGGTAGATGCGTTCATCTTATAAATGACCATTGCGCTGTTGGATACTTCAGAACCCTTATTTATTTGATTTGTACGACAATTATTATCTTATTTCTACTTTTATCTAAACAAAAGGGAGAACTACGAAGATCTTTGGTTAGTGCTGTTAATTATAATGATGAATATGTAAGCTTATTATCTTGCTTACCTTCAAATTCTAAAGAAAATCAACTTTTTAGTTATGTTTTCATTTGCTGTAATGTTTTCTGGACAGGGCATTGTGCTATGTTTGCTGCTGGTAAGTGGTTCATTTATTTACATCAGAAGGAAGCGAACTGTTTCAACGGCTGGTTTTGCTTCTGGCAGGCTGCAGTCAAATTCCAGGTTTTAGTTTAGTTTAGTCAGGAGTCTTCTTTTGTTACAATTGTTCATGTGACATAAATGTATTATCCACGAATACAACAAATTGAAATTATAGATGTATCAACACCTAGGAACTGAATGGTTGCACATACTTTTCTCCCTGTTCCATTATTTCGAAACGAAATCAACCAATTCGACTTGCTTTCATTGCTTTCTTTTGGTTGTAAGTTACTCGCACGGAATAGTCTTAGCAAAATCAGCTTTTCACTTCAAAGAATATATATGAATAACACAACACAATAATAACAAGTTATTGCTTCTTTACGATTTACAAGAAAATGGGACCATAGGTCGATACCTTCTGCCAATTTCCCACCTCAGAGTTTCTTTTTTTTTTTTTAACATCAAAGAAGCAACAGAACAAAACTAAAACTACAATGAAAAGAATGACATTGAAGATAATCTGGTTCTCACCCGTGACAATAAGGCCTTTTGAAAGTAAAATCTACAGCACGACACTTACAATGATCAACCATATGGTAATCACAAAAAATAATCAGGAGTCTTGCGAGTGGCATCTGGCTCAATTTGCCGAGGAGCTGGGTCAAATTGTAGAAAGTTTTGATCCATGTTCTCCCCAATTTCCAGAATTGCGGCCATATTTCCACATCGATAACAATAATTTGGAGCGCTAAAGACAGTCACCACATTCTTATCCTACAAAAGAAAAGGAGAGATTGAAAACATAAGAACATGCAATAGAAGGAAAACAACAAGTGGGGGGGTAGACACCATTTGCAATCAGCTAAACAATTCACCTGACACCAGTTGTATCCTTCCATGACAAGTTGATGCGCTCTGGATATAAGAGTAAGCCCATTTGTATGATTGAACTGAGTAGCTATATCCTGACCAAATGTATACCCAGCCCCACGTGGAGATATTCCCCATCCACACCGGTCGTCTGGATCCGACCATAAGAGATCACACATCGGCCCCTCATGGGGGACCTGACGTGACATATACAGAAAAAACAGCTAATGAGTAATACAAAACACTGAATACCCCGGAAATGGAAATCTTTGTAGCAATAATTAGTTGAGTGATCAATCAACAACCAAATAAAAGCCTACAAACCTCCTGTATACGGTCCAATGAGCGAATGTTATCCAAGGTATCCAAGGATGGAGAAAGCCCTCCATGCAAACAGAAAACCTACACATAATAACAGTTGCATTTTAGATAGAAGCTTATCTGGTATCAAGTTACCACGCACAGTTCATTCCGTGTACAACTGAACCTGACTCTCAACTAGAGCTGTAAGAGGGAGGTAATCGAACAGATCGGTGAAGTGTTTCCAGACATTGGCATTTCCATATTTTCGCAAGCATTCATCATAAAAGCCATACCTGAGTGAGAAAAGATGGGTCTATGAATAAAAATCAGTCACACTAACATTAGGGAAAGGACCCTTAAGAGTATGACTAAACACATACAAAAGAAAGACTTCCGATGAGCAATAAAGATGGTTTGAAAGGTCATGGCATCTTACACTTGAGTTATTTGTCGGCTCTCGTGATTACCCCTCAAGATAGTAATTCTGTCTCTATAACGAACCTTCAGAGCCACGAGAAGAGTAACCGTCTCGACAGAGTAGTACCCGCGATCTGCATTAGTTCACAGTGTGAGAAAATGCTAGTACCATAGACTCCGAACTCCCATAGCTTATAACAAAGGATTACATGCTTTTTCAAGTTATGAAATCAAGCAACCAATTAACCAAGCCATCAACTGCACCGGGTTTATTTTATTTCCTTCCCTTCCCTCTCTTCCTAGCCACAAACAGACGGTAATTTATCAATAAATGACTTCAAGAGGGCACAATGCTCGTTGTGCTGCCTCTTTATAAAACTAGAGACGATACTAAGTTACCTTCATAAGCAGCATCAGGATATTGACCCACGTTTCCCTGCCTCTTTCTAACTCATTTGAAGAACTATTTCCTTTCCTTTTTCTTTTTATCAAAAGCTACAAGAAAACTACTTATCACCTCCTGTAAGGCCTATGAGCAAGCTACTATAAATTCCTTCAATCCTGTAAGCTTCTATCATGACAAGTAGCTGCTTTCATCAATCGCTTCCAGAGGATGTAAATCCTGAAAGCATCTCCCAGTTTATAATTTACAGCTAAGTTTAAATTATAACTTTAACGCAATACAACGACAGAATCAAGCATCAATTTGTACCAACCATACTGCATTATCACCCGTCAACTTTGTTCATTTTTATCCCTTGATCTCACAGATAGGAGCTATCCAGAAACTAGACATATCCATGCCCACATGAGCCACCTGATAAAAGTTGTCTGATCTGAGAACTTACCAGCACATCTGAAATGTCATGTTTTGAGTTTTCAACTTAAACAATCTTTTACCAAAACCCACACATCAGTGTGTGATTCTAGATGATCTAATGGATAAATTGCCCTTAAATGCAAAGAGGAAGCTAAGGCCAACTAGAAATCACAGTCGGATTAATCAGAAAATTTGTATTTAACGGATGGGTACAGAAGCCATGCCCCTACGACATATCAGCCCCTTGATGGATGCGGCTTTTCGTGTTGGGAACAGCTCGAATGAATCTCTTTTTGAAGATGAGAATTTTCAAACACAACAAAAGAAACAGAAAGTAGACACTAGCTTTAGATGAAGGAATCAAATAAATTTTTCAATACCTCCAATATATACATATGTGTGTGTGTGTGTGAGGGCATCATAGGAACGAAAACAAGGGGAAAAAATAGGTAAGAACTCACCCACATAATCACCCATGAAAAGGTAATTAGTATCAGGAGTACGGCCTCCTATCCGAAACAGTTCAATGAGATCGTAAAATTGGCCATGAATATCACCGCACACCGTCACCGGACACTTAACCGGCTGCACGTTCCACTCCTCTACCAGAATCGCTCTCGCCTGATCGCACAGTATTTTCACATCCGCTTCCGGCAACGGCTTGCACTCCATCAGATACTCGATCTGACGGTCCAGATCCGCGTGAGACGGCATGATTTCAAATCCTCACAGATCCACAAGCAAATATTAAAGATCGTCTCGAAGAAACCCGGTCACCAACGCAGCGATCTCTCCATTCTCAGAGAACAATAGAATTTGAGCTCATTATGCATCAAATGGACTCCGAACCATCAAAATTAATCCCCGAAATTCGAACTTTTTCAATCGCCATGACATGTAACAAAGAAACATAGATAGATTCTCGACCCGTGAATCATTCTGGCTCTCTCCCCCTCCCCCCCTCTCTCCGTTCTTCGGCAAAATTTGGAAAAAAGTTACTAAAATTGTATTTATGTGAATAAGAGGATGACGAGGGAATTGAGGGGGAGCGGATTGATTGGTCCGAAATGAATCAAAATGCAAATGCAAATTCAAATGAAATGCCATTTCATTTCACGTCTCCCAAATATAACTTCCTCTTTTTTCCTTCACAGATTATATTATTTTTTAGTATAAAGTCTCAAATCATTATAGATTTTAATTTCCGTTGAGATTAAAAATAACATATAATGATTATTATATGTTAATTACTGCTCCATATTTCTCCATTTTTTTAAAAATAACAATTAAATTAATGAAGTCAAAAGAAGTAGCCTAAATTACTAAAAACAATTCCAATTTTGAGGTTTGGATTAAGTCAAATAAATGGGGAAATTCTTTTATTCATCAATCCTAAAGAGATTGAGATATAAAATATATTTTCCACTAATTCAGTCTTTGTCAATGACTTTCTTTTTTATATTCTGTAAAAGTATTTTCTTTTTTTTTTTTAAAATAATAATAAATTATGAAAACAAAAGCTTAATTGATTCGACCTTGTTTGGTTGTTTTAATGTTTGGGCCAAGTTGAATTCGAACCAACGTAGCCCAAGCCCATTTGCTCATCTCGAAGCCACTAATTTCTTTTTTAATTAAAAAAATAAAAAAAGCTACAAACTCAGCTGCTTCATCACAGGGCTTCCTCCCTCAACCTCAGACCCAGCTGCCGGCCATGGCCAGCTTGTTGTTTTCCCCGGTGGTGGCGAGCCGACGGTTAAAATCCATAGAAACAGCCCCACCGCCACAGCTTCAAGCCTAGTTTCTTATAATTTAACCAAAACTTTTATAATTAATGTTCTTGAAATTTCAAAATTACATTATATGAGTTCTTAAAATTTGTCAATGGACGTTGCGAAAGGGAAAAAAAAAAAAAAAGAAAAAAACTGAATCAGCTGGATTTTAAATAAACCTTGAGAGACGTAGATTAACAGAAATTTATAAGTTCATGATTTTTTGGTCTATAATCAATCTGGGGATTAGAACTTTTGGTAGACTTGTGAAGGTGATGAGGAGGATTATGATGGAGATGAAGAGGATATAATCCATTTAAATTGAGAATTACAATGTGTACTATCTAGCCCATGAGGAAGGTTCATGGTAACAGGTTCTTCCTATGGATAGCTACAATCCGACCAGTCAAAAAATTACAATTTCATTTGGCATTAAAATTACATCAACATATCAATATATACCCATTTCATTCCTAATAACCACTAGTCTCTCGGGAGGAAGAATGACAACTAATGGGACAAAGTGGAACCAAATGATATGCTGCAAAATCAAATGCTAAAATATGGCACAGCAAAGCTAATACTAAGGATTTTTCTGGGGTCTACTATTGATATGAAAATTTTTGTACAAAAATGATCAATTCTACCTCACTTTTTTTCCCTATTCTTTGGCCTCAATTTCACACTGGCTCTCTTAGCAACATCCCATGCTTTCTGTGGGGCATAAATACCAAGCTGTGCAGCAAAAAATGACTCGTAGCCGGGTGAGTCGAAAGCAAAGCCAGTGTGCTTCGATAATTCTCGAGGGAGTTGAGACATGGCATAACTTCTTGCCTCCTCCGGTGTAAGATGGTTCTGAATCTCCAGCAATCCTGCCGTACCTCTGCCTTCAGGTTCATGTCTATGTATTTCTTGTACTATCTGATAATCGTAGGGGAAAAACCATCTCTGAATGCTGTATCCACGCAAAAAAATTGTCCATGAAAACTATATTAGCAATAGAACAAAAATTGTAATAATAAGTTGACTCACTATCTTAATCTTATCTCATCTAATGATCTGAACACAAAAGAAATTGTTAACAGATTACTATATCTGTGACGGTAGAAAATTCCATAACACTAGCAACTTTGATGTTAAACAGGAGGGAATTTCAGAATGAGAATCAGTCCGTTTGGGAAAAAGAAATTCGCTAGACAGGTTATGCCAAATTGTCCAGTCTAGTTTGTCAATCCAAGACAAAACAGGCCAACGTTGGCCAATCAGCCTACCATCTGATGGCAAATATCCTTCTATGAATATATGCATGCATATTGCTTGGACTTTCCTAAAATTTCTGTTTTGTAGTGGAAGCTTGCTTCGTTGTGTAGATATCAAACTTTATTGTGCTTTCAAGCTGGAGTTCTTGACCTTTTCTTAACACAGATCAAAAGTCAAAAAACAATTACCCTACAAATCTTGACTCTGCAAAAAGCTTACATGGGTTGCAGCCCTAAATATAACGTACAAAAAAAGCTTAAGAAACGAGAAAATCACATGATGTATTTCCTAACCATAATTACCAAAAGAATTTAGAGAATTCATACCCTTGGTACGCGAAATCACAGAGAAGTGCAACAATGGGGACAAGAAGAACAGCTACATAAAAGTATAATGTACTCATTAAGACATATATGACGAAATATACATTTTCCTGCAGCAAAAGGGGCAATAATAAAATGAGTATTAAAAGAAAAAAGTAAAGGTAAAAGTAAATATATATATATTAAAAAAAAAAGGCAACAAAACTAACCTGCCTATCATGTGGTGTGATAATACCAGAATATAAGAAAATAAATAGGAACCAAGCTAAAATGCTGCCCCCAACCGTAATGTAATGCCACCGGGTAATTGAATTGCAGATCATAAGCAAACGCAAATTCACAGTCACTACAATGCATGTGAAAGTCATCGTGCTGATATCCCACAGACCAAACACCCTGCCAGATGACGATTGACTGCTGGAACTAGAAACAGTTATAAAAAAATAAAAGACTAAAGATTGGTAGATGGAAAAGAAAGCCCAAGTTGTCACAACTCTCCACTTAAAAAATGCATTTCTTATTCCCTCTCTGTAGAGCTCAGGGTACTTTTTGGATAGGGAAGCACTGACATCCTGACAAAAAAAGACAAAAAAATAAAATAATTTGTAGGGAGAGTTCAAGGATAGATTTCATCTTAACGAAACAAAAGACATTCTCCACGAACTATAGGCATCTCTTCAATAGCAGGGCAGTACATGCTATGAGCAAAGTAGTAAAAAAGAATGCAGTACCTTGTCAAATAGTCCAACAATTATTACAGGTAGGGCGGTAAATATGACATTATACAACGACTGGAACCAATCATCATAGAATCTTTGACCAGAAAATCCAGTTTGGAAGGTGAACCAAAACTGAGTTAAAGTGAATGTAAGATTCTTGTAAAAGAAGTACGTGACGACCTGCCACAGAACAAGTGCGTTCATTATGTAAAAGTCTCATAAAAAAAGACATGTTTGAAAGTGATTTTGAACATGACATAAATGATTTTACCCATACCAAAATCACTTTCAAACATGTCATAAATGTCACAACCAGCCAACTATAGAGAGTACTCAAAACGCAAAAAAAAAAAAAAAAAAAAA